AGGGAAGGGCAATAGCTGTAGTGTGGGAGGGGAGAGAACAGTCTATTAGGGGAGGCAGGGAGGGGAATTTTTGGCTGCAGCAGGGCCCCAATCTCCCCAGCCACATCGCCCCCCATCCCAGGGCTCTGCATGGCCCTGCCAGGCCCCGAGCTCACAGCCACCCAGCGCCCGCAGGTGCTTGCAGGGCAACAGGAGCGGCTCTGCCACAGGCTAACGCGGGTCCCGGGCTGCCCATCCGTCAGCGTCCACCCCCCAGGCGCTCGGTGCCCGGGGCGGCGCCTGCCCAGCCTCCCCGGGGCCCTGACACCCGGCTCCCTTGTTCTCCCCTGGGCAGGTGGACGAGGCCGTCTCCCGCTGCAAGGAGACCGTGACCAGCCTGGCCTTCAGCTTGGCCTTCCTGCAGCGCATGGACATGAAGCCCCTGCTGGTGCTGGGGCTGCCGTCCCGGAGCTCCCTGAGCGACACCCTCACCTTCCGGGATACCAAGGCGCTGCTGACCCAGAACTGCAAGGCCCTGACGGACGCCCTGCGCCAGAACTCCGCTGCCACCATGCCCTTCTTCGGGGCCGGCGCCGTGCTCGGAGCGGAGCAGTCGCCCGCCAACTCCAGGTCAGCCGCTGAGCCTGCAGGCCTGGCTCTCCTTACCGGCCCGAGGGCTCCCGTTAACACCCCTCTCTCTGCTCCCAGCGGGATCTCCGTGGACAGCGACCTGCTGCAGTGGTGCCTGGAGTCCGGGAACATCCCCATCATCTGCCCCGTCGGGGAGACCCGCGGCCGCCAGTCCCTGCTGCTGGACTCCGTTGAGGTCACCGCCGCCATCTCCAGGACGCTGCTGCCCACCAAGATCATCTTCCTGAACATGACGGGGGGGATCAGGAACTCCGGGCAGAAGGTGGGTAAGGGCAGCGCAGGGTTTGGCACAGGAGACGCCGACTCACGCACCCTCTGCCGCTACTGCTGGGCTAGACACGTGCCTCCCGCTCCGCATGCCAAGACATGGGCTCCCATCCCGCCCCTTCCAGTGCCCTGCTTCCAAGATACACTCCCACACCCCGACTGCCTCCTGGGGCCCCCCATCCTTCCCTTCACCCCTCCCCAGCTCCTGGTCACCCCCTCCCATGCATGGACCGGGGAGCCAGGAGACGCAGCTGAGGAGCGTTGTACATGAGTGGGGAGAGGCTGGAGGGCAGGCACGTACACGTGGGGAGGGGCTGCCGAGGCCTAAGGCTGCTGCTGGGGTTTGCCCATCAGCTGGGAGAAGGTCAAAGCAGCCCCCTGCACTGCACCCCTCTACCGGGGCTGACCACGGCAGGAGCAAGAGCCAACCTTCCCCACCACGCCCCATGCTTGCGTTGTGTCCTCCACTGGGGTTCAGCAGCTGGGCTGGGCCCATTCCAGGAGGCAGCCGGCATGGAGCAGGGGACGGGCAGAAGGGCCTAACCCATGGAGACATCGCCCATCCCCTTGCTGAGCCCCCTCCTGGCCTTGCAGGTGCTGGGGAACGTGAACCTGCCCGCCGACCTGGACCTAGTGACCAAAGCCCAGTGGATGGGCCACAAGGAGCAGCAGCAGGTCAGGCTGATCATCGACCTGCTGAGCCGCTTGCCCTACGAGGCCTCCGCCGTCATCGCCTCTGCCGGCGCGCTGCTCGCCGAGATCTTCAGCAACAAAGGTGAGTGTGGCCCCCGGGGCCTGCCCCGATGGGCTCAGCCGCTGCCTCGCTCTCTCGGGGCGGGCGGACAGGATGGGGGAGCTGAGGTCGGCTGGAGAATTAGCGCCGGCGAGTGGAGCAGGAAGCAAAGCGCTGCTGCTCTGTGGGAGACCGTCCGAGTGAGCAAAGCCCTCGCTCTTCCCTTTGGCTCCAGGCTCGGGGACCCTGTTCAGGAACGCTGAGCGTATGCTGCGGACCGAGAGGCTGGAGGAGCTGGACCAGCAGCGCCTGGTCTCCTTGATCAACACGTCCTTCGGGAAGACCCTCCGAGGGGACTATCTGGCTTCCATACGGCCCAGGCTGCACTCGATCTACTTCTCAGAGGGGTAAGGAGGCGCCCGGCGCGTCTCTGCTGGGCCCAGGAGCTCTAGGAGCAGGCAGGCAGCGGGATATTTAAGAAGGGGAGAGATCCCTATTCAGCCACTTCTAGGGGCAGCCCCTGGGGTGCAGAGTGACCCTAACATCTGGCTGAAGGCCGTTAGTTCTGGGGATTGTCTTGTATCCCAGAGATCTGAAAACCTTCCCTGCCCCCCTTTCTCCGCCTGGTCTGTTTAGACAGGAAACTCTTGGGGGCAGGGATTGTCTCTCCTTACGTGCAGCACCTCACACCGGGGGCCAGCTAAGGCCTCTAGCCTCACACGCAACAGGAGACAGGCCTGCCAAAGACAAGCTCCAGCCTTCCCAACTGGCTCCTGTTGTAGAGTACGGACCCAAACCCCAGAGCCTCTGAACCTTGGGGCCATGTGAAAGCCAGGCACAAAGTGGTTATTTCCTGTAGTGCCTGAGAGCTACCACAAGCGGACAGCTGGGGTAACCCTTGTCGTAGCTGCATGGGCCCAGGGGAGCGAAGGAAGGAGAACAGAAGGTGCAAAATCTCCTCCCTTCCTCGTGGAAGCCTTCCCTGCCAAGCAGAGTCTGCTCGTGCCGCTCCCAGGCCATGCCGCTCACCCTACCCTTTGTCACCCAGCTACAACGCAGCAGCCATCATCACGAAGGAGCCGGTCCTGGGCGGCATGCCGTACTTGGACAAGTTTGTGGTCAGCTCCACCAAGAAAAGCCAAGGCTCCGGCCAGATGCTGTGGGAGTGCATACGGCAGGACCTCAGGACCCTCTTCTGGAGGTCTCGCGTCACCAACCCCATTAACCCCTGGTAGGTGGAAAGGAGACCTGAGCAGAGCAGCATTTCCATTGGGAATGCCACCCTCCTGGTGGACGCCGACACGGATGCACATCTGTTCTGGGCTCAAGTTTTAAACACACTAATGGTTCTCCTGCTATTCCAGCCCTGGGCTTCCCATATGCAGCTCTGCCAATGCCCCACAACCATGCCCTGCAGCCCCCCTGCTATTCCAGCCCTGGGCTCCCCACACACAGCTCTGCCAA